GCAGCACCTGGAAAAATGTAAGGGCTGACCTCCAGCTCCTTGATGTTGTGGTACATTTATTCCAGTAGGAGTAAAAAGAGAGAGAGAGAACTGGGATCTACCAGGGGCCTTTGGAGAGAAGCTCTGTAGGGCTGGCACCCAACGGGGGGTTACGTGTCCCGAGGTTGCCAGTTGCTCCTACGCTTGTCCCAGTGTTGTGTGCGTGCAGAGATGGTGTTGGCCCATAGTGGCAGTGGGCACCTCTGTGGGACACCGAGGACATCACCTGGCAGCAGATTTTGGGAGGAGTGCTGGCTCTGGCTGGCTGCCCCTTGGCTGTGGTCAAACATGGTGGCCAGGAGGTTTCTCTTCCCCATTTCCTCCGGCAGGGCCACGTGCTGGGAAGTGCTCTCCTGCATTCATTCTGTGACGGCAGGGCACGCAAACTGCGGGCAAGTGGAAGCCGTGTCATTGCTAGAAAAGAAGCAAGAGTGGAGAAAGCTGCTTGCCCTCTTCCCTTGAGCCCCATCACATGCCTGCAAAACTTTTCCTTATCTCCCCACTGGCAAACACAGATTTACCGAAGTGGTGTGGGCTTTGTTCTCACCTGGTTGGCAGAATGACCTTTATCAGCTGTGACTCAGTTCCCTGGCTGTAAAACGGGCAGCAGATGTGACCTTTGGGAATCTGATGGAGAAAAGAAGGGTGATTCTGGTAAGAGCTGAGCCTGGGGGTGCAGAGGGGACTTTGTGCCTCTCTCTGGGCAGCAGTTCCCGACATCCAGCCGGCGCCAGCTCCAGAGCTGGTCCCCAGGGAACAAAGCCTGTAATGTCTGTGGGGCAAAACTGGCTGTTTAAGGCTGAGCAAAACTTCTGTGCTTGACGAAAATGAAGTGGGGAGGGCTGGTTCTAACTTTTACATCTCAGATGTATTTTGCCATGTTCCAGCCTGTGACAGTTGCAAGGGAAAAGCCGTTTTGCAGGGCTTGTTCTGGAAGGTGGGGCTGGAGTGGCTGGGCAGCCAGGTTTCTTCTGTCAGTGTTGTGGTTTTAGTGACTCTCCCTTGGAGATGAGCGGTTTCACAGACACATCTGGAAGGGCTGCATCAGCCTTTCCTGGTGGGAAGATGGTGCCTCAGCAAAACTGACTGTTCTTTGAAAATCTGGCCCCTTCTCCATTGCAGCACTCCATGACCTGGAACCAGTGTGAGGGCGAGCAGAACCGCTGGCATCTTCTCACCTCCACAACCACTCGTATCCCTCCTATTTCTCTATTCCTCTTCCTCCTGCGACCTGTTGGCATTGCTGGGCCTTTTCGCGGTGTCAGCAGTGTAATCCTCTTTGGTTTAAATGCTTTTTTTTTAAAATCTTTTTCTTAAATCTGGATCGTACTGCTGGAACGGGTCTTGGGTGAGGTTGCTCCTGCAGTTGTGCTGGCAGATCTGAGAAGGCAGTAGCCCTGGCAGAAGGCAGGGATGAATTACTTCTAAATATCCATATGGCTGTTGCTCCTCAGCCCAAAAGCCACTCCCAAGCTCCATTGTTTGTTTGTTTTGTTTTGTTTCCTAATTTGCTTTTTTTACTCACTGCTATGTTTTTTAAACTGTACTGAGACCATGACACACGCTTCTGCTGAACGTTGGGGAGGTGAGATTGGAGCACTAGAGGGCAGGAGGAGAGGTTGCTGAGCCAGGACACCTCTCTGCACCAAACAGTGCCCCAGCCTCCCCGCACACAGCCCCGACGATTACCTGAGGGGTGGTGATTCCTGGAGGGAGCTGGGAATTTGTTGCTCTCTGTGGGCAGCAGAGTGTGTCTCACTGCCAGGTGAGAAGGTGATCTCAGTGGATCCCAGCTCCAGGGTGTTTTCCTTCATCCAAGCTGCTGTACTTTGGGGGGCTGCCTGGCAGTGCCAGCAGCATCTGACCTTTCTCCACATGCTCACCAGGAAGCTCTACTTGTCCAAGGCCACCTGATATGGAAGTCCCTTGGTTAGATCTGCAAGGAAAGCCCAGGAACCAAACCAACGAACGTGCCCTTTGTGCTACGGTGCTGCTCGTCTCAAGTGCTGCTTCAGCATCCTACAACCAAGCTGCCCAGTTAATGTTTGATTCACCCAGTGCCGTGCAACCTGGCAGGAGCAACCTCGGCAGACTACGCTAATCCCTCCGCAGGACAGGACACCAAGCCTTGCTGAGGATCGCTCCTTGCTCAGCAAATTACCTGTTGGCAAACATTGCCCGGGGAGCTGGTGCCTTTCCCTCTGCCCTGGGATACAGGGCAGAAATCCAGAGGAAAATGCAGGCAGGGAGCTGGCACGTACCTCTGACCCGTGGAGTAAGTGGCTCCTCTGGGCTTTTTACCACCTGTAGCAGGATTTGCGTGTGAGGAGCTGTACCCTCACCAGCCAGGTGCAAGGCACCTGTAGAGCTGATGGCTGCTTGGTGGGGCTCTCCAGCCCTGCCCAGCACACAGAAACCCTGCTGCACAGCTCAGCCCCCCCCAGATTCCCTGCCCTGTGTCTGCTCCGAGGCTGGTCCCAGTGGAGAGCGAGCTGAGCAGAACTGGCAGTGGCCACAAAGCCATTCGTAGCAGCGCTCGCAGATGTTTCCTGCATAAGCAGCAGGGTCTGGCCTGCTGCCAGCAGGACTCAAAAAGCTCTTGAGGTCACAGGCTAGGCTGGGCCAAGCTGGCTGAGAGCGGGGCAGCTGCCAGAAGAGTGCAGGGTAGGTGATCTGGCCACTTAAGTAGAGCTTGAGAGCCACGTGCATCTCCTGTCTCCGGCTTCTGGATGCCATCCTGTAGGTTCTGGTCTCCGTCCTGAGCCAGGCCTTTACCCATGCCCATCTACCAGCTGCCCAGTGTGGCCAGCAAAAGCCCACATCATCCCAGTCTGGGGTTTTTTTGGGATAAAAAGAGTTTCTGGAGGATCTTGCTGAGTTCAGAGAGGCCATCAAGTGGCTGGTGGCTGTCCCCAGGCTCAGCAGAGAGTCTCTGGTGACAAGGCTCTCTGGGAGTCACCAGGGTGACACTTGTGCTGTGTCAGCGTTGAGGGCTGGGTGTTTTCTCCAGCTCTCAGCAAAAAACAAAGGTCAGGGCCGGGAGGCTCAGCTGGCGGGGATGGCGGGGACAGGAGCTCCCGGCCCCTGGAGCAGACCGTGCCGTGTCCTGGGTCATCGGGCTCTGCTGAGCCTGGAGGTTTGAAGCTGGGGATCACATGGTTGTAACGTTTTCCCAAGGCACGACCGAGATAAGTGTGATTCTGTGCTGATTTAAACCGCCTCGTGGGCACTTTGGCCTCAGGCACGGCGGGAGAAGTTCCTTATTCTCCTCACACCCACTGGCTCAGCAGAGCTGGGACAGCCGACACAGAGCCAGGGGCTGGCTCCGGGCACCTGTGCTGTGAGATCTGTCCCTCTGCCCTGCAAACAGCACCGGAGCATTGCGTACTGCTGGGGCTGGCAAGCTAGGCTGAGGGGCTACGAGTCACTCTTCTACACCGTGAGTCCTTGGCCCAGGCGCTGCTCTGGGCTGGGATTCAGCCTCCTCCTCCATGTTTAGCTGTTGGCAGCTGGAGCCCACACGTCGCCTTTTTCCTCCGAGGAGGACGTTGGTTGGCTCTTTTAGAAGCAGTTAGCTTAAAAATAAATCGCTCATCTTCCCTGTTGCTGTAGCGTGGGCACACAGCTCCCTGTGCCCTTCCCACCCCAGCCCTGCCAACACCTTTTCATCAAGGCTGTGACAGCGTCTGTGCCTTGATGCTGGCCTGCCCCTCTCTGCCAGTAATTCTCCTGCCGACCTGGCTAGTCCTGGCGGTGGGTGAGAGCAAACTGGGGTGGTGGGGTCAGGCTGCTGCTTCCCCAGCCGCTGGCATAGAGCCCTGGGGTCCAGCTCAGTTAGATTTTGGCAAGTTGTCATGCAGCAGGGAGAGGGATTTGCTCTGCCTGGCTGGGCAGGGCATGTCACGTCGCTGATTCGGGACTAAAGCTGCCTGAGCGTCCCCACAGGTTTGGTGCTAGGAAGGAGGGTGCAAGCTGCAAACTGGGCAGCCAGACTGGCAGTGTGGTGCGGACCGGGGCAGCTGAGAGGGTTTGCTTTGCGTCGTGAGCTGGCGTGAGGGTTTGAGCATGCTGACAAAGTGAGCCGGGGGCTGCAGATCAAAGCTGGACCTGGGTTTGGATGGGCCTGCACCCAATTTGGGAGAGGCTTAAGGGTAGTCCAGTGTATTTGGGGCCAAACTGGCACGTGTGCGAGCTGTGTGGAAACGTTACTCAGCATCCCTGAGGGGTTTGATGGGACTGCACCAAGTTTTCTGAAACTGGGAGCTGGCAGTTTGTTTTGCAGTGTCCCTGCTGCATGGTAGGGCAGGTTTGGAGGTCTCTGCCCAGGACCCCAAGCACCCTCCACATGCCCAGGTGCCAGCAGCTGCTGGAGACAAAGAACAGAGGTTTCCCCATGGCTGAAAGCCCCTGCTTGGCTTCCCAGTTCCATCAGCGTGAGCTGGTCTTGAGCTGGGAGCTGGGAAGGGGAATGTGGAGGTTTCTGGCTGGAGCATGTTGCCTTCAGGGCCTGGATGTGGACCTGGCTCTGCATCATGTCACTTGCCTGTTGATGTAGATGAGGAAAGGTTGGACTTGCAAACTGGGCTTTATGCTCTGCAACAAGCCAGCTGTGGGCCAAGTGCTGCTGCCACACACCAGTAGGGTTTGGGACTCACTGCTGCAGAAGATGATCAGCTCTGGACAATTTTGCCTTCTGCTCCCTGTAGCTTTTCCAAAGTTTTCTTACCTCTCATGTTTCCCAGGCTGGAAAACTGCAGAAAAAGCCCCCATCCACATCTTCAAGGCTGAAGCTCTTTTGCTCTTTCTCTGTCCTCGCTCTTACTGTCGTTTCTGCCAGCCCATGGGTCTCTCCTCCCCCTGTGCCCCACCTGCACCCCAGGCACCCCAACACAGTGAAGTAGCTCAGCCCCACGGTGGGAAACAGGCACTCCCAGGCCCCGTTCAGGTGGAGCCCCTAATCCCCCGTCTTTGTTTTGCCCCGACAGGCCATCACTCAGTCCCCAAATGCCATCACTGAGGACATTTATACCAACGGCTCAGCGACTCTGGGCAGCCCCTCGCACAGCAACGGCCGTGAGGTGCGGAAGATACGCCTCGTCCAGTTTGAGAAGGTCACAGAGGAGCCCATGGTGAGAGGTGGCAAGATCAAAAAGCCTGGTGGCACCCAGCGGGGGTGGAGGGGCAGGTAGAGCTGTGCCGACGGGCTGGCCTCGGGGAAAAGCAGGAGTTTGGTGGAGACCTTGGCCACAGGAAGAAGGTGCTGGATTCCGTCTCCTGCCTAGGGACCTGGAGCGAGCCCCATCCAAGGGTGGTGACGTTTGTGCCAAGAGGAGCTCCAGCAGGCTGGGTTGGCCAAGCAGGGGGCTTTCCCCCAGCCATTGCGCCACCCACCGTGGACACGGACCTGGAGCGGACGTAGCTCTCCCCTCCGGCGAGCAGTCACGGATTTTCCTGTCTTCCAGGGAATCACGCTGAAGCTCAACGACAAGCAGAGCTGCATGGTGGCCAGGATCTTCCATGGGGGCATGATTCACAGACAAGGTAATGAAAGTCTCGTGGAGGCAGTGTGTAGGGTGCACGTCTGCAGCGAGTTTCTTTCCAAGCGGAGACGACGCAGTCCCCTGGTACTGCTGGCTTTCCCGCTATGACTGGAGATCTGTCTGTGTCCATTCCTCCACTAGAATATGTCAGGAACTCTGGGAATCGCTGGTTGTTCTGCATGGTTGTCATGTTAATACGCTGGAGGCTTTAGGGAGAAATGAAAGGTTGGAGGAAGGGCTCTCCCAAAAAGGAACTGGAGACTGACTGTCTCAGTCTTGTGATGGGGTCACTGTAACAGGAGATAGATCATACCCTAGAGCCTGCAGGGGAAGCTCTTCCCGTTCCTGAGGTACACAGGTGGGACAGGCTTGCTGTGGATTGGCTCTGCAGACCAAAAGAAGACTCCAAAAGAAATAACTAGGTGCTATTTTCTGGTTTCGGGCCTTGCCAAGGGGGCATGGAAGTGAGATGTTCTGTGCTTAGAAGAAGAGGCCTCTTTTCCAGTCTCGGATCCAAATGGGAAGCCTGAGCTTAGCCCTGCCAAAATAACCCAGGAGCCATTCCAATAATGCTACTGGAGCCTGATTTGTAGCAGTATATCTGTGGCTGTAATCTGGCTGGGTATATAAACTGAAAACATATTAAGTCAATAACGCTTGGCTTAAGAGCCCTGTAAGGAGTTTGTCGTTTGGCTTCAGGTCATTGGGATTGGGTTTGAATATCTTTGAAACAGTCTAAAGCACTGAAGGACACATGACGGAAAGCAGCCTGATGACCTTCACGCTGGGTGAAATATGTGTATCGGGTGGAGGGGGAAGAATCCGTTTTCCTCGTGCTTTCATCCCGTGTGCTTAGGTGACGTGTGTGACTCCACAAGCATTGCCCAAGCAAACACGTGAATGTCCTGGCCACAGCTTGCCCAGGGGGTCAGCAGGCTGGTGGGGCTGTGTAGTTTGGGTTTGGTGAGCGGTTCTTGTCCGGTCCTGCATTTTCATGTTTCTCCCATTGCCGGCAGGCTCCCTTCACGTGGGTGATGAAATCATAGAAATCAATGGGCAGAGTGTGAGCAACCACTCAGTTGACCAACTGCAGAAGATGCTGGTAGGTATTTGTGTTTGGCAGGGCTGCAGATGTATATGCTGGCTGAACATTCAGCCAGAGCTGTGTGATGTGGCGGGAGCCAGGGATGCTGTGCCGTGGTGCTGGAATATGACCAAGCAGTGAATCTCTGTGCTCGGCTTTGGTGGTCTGTGCTTGCTGCTGGTTTCTGCTCCCCTGAGAGCAGCAGCAAAGGCGGTTGGTTGGGTCCCTGACACATGCAACTGTGCATCGGGCTTTGAAACCACCTCTGCTTGTCAAGGCTGGTGGCACTGGCCACTCTTGCAGACCTGAGCTGCAACAACAGGTCACCTTGGTGCCGTTTTTCTGCTGCTGAGATCACAGTGATCCTGCCAGGCCCTTGCTAGAGACAGCTTTGGGCAGGGTCTCAGACTTGCCTTGGATTCACACACCGAGGCCATCCTGATCTACGCCAAACGTGGGATCTGGATGGAGGGAGATGGTGGTGCTGAGGATACTCACCAGCAGCCTAAGCAGGAGGCCTGGCCCTGCTGCAGTGCCATGGTCTTCTCCTGCCTGGTTGCAGAATATCCGTGTTCCAGACAGTGGGACCAAGGAGGAACTTATTTTTGCCTGCCTCCCAACAAGTGTGGTTGGCTCTAGAGGCCCCTCCACACCTCCAGATGTGGTTGTCCCCACAGGACCTTGTAGGTCTGTGAAACATGTGAGCCAACAGTGCCTCTGGCCTGTGGCAGGCAGAGGAGTGCTGTGCCTCTGATGTCACCAGGAGGGCAAGAGAGAGAGGGAGGCCAGCATGGAAGGGACAGATGGAAGGGACCTGGCAGAACCAGCTTCTCCTTCCAGGCTCCCCACGGGGCCAGCCAGTCTGGGGATGATACGGATCTCCGTGTTTGTTCTGGTGATGCAGTGCCCAGAGCCAGTCCCTTGTGGGGGTGTTGGCATCCTGCCACGGGGGTGGGACAAGCATGGCAAAGCTGTGCTGCCACAACTCTTAGCCCAGCCCCAGCAGAGTGTGTTTCTGGCCAGGCTGTGGTGTCCAGCATCACAGCATGGCTGGGAGCACCCAGGAGCTTTGCTTTTGTGAGTCTTGGCACTCAGCAGTGCCCTGCTTAGGTTGCTGCTGTCCAGGCATCACATCCTCCAACTCTTCTTTCTCCCCTTCCTTTGTTCACTAGAAAGAAACCAAGGGGATGGTCTCAATAAAAGTAATTCCCAACCAACAAAGCCGCCTCCCTGCTCTCCAGGTAAGTGCGGTTGCCAGACCCTCGGGCTGTGCTGGGAAGTGGCTGTGGGACCAGAGCAAACCAGTGCTGGGGAGAGAGCTGTGCTGAGCCACAGGAAGGATGAGGGGAGGCTGCTCAGTCACCTTGCCTGAGCTGCTGGAGGATGAAGGGACCCGTCACGTGCTTGCATCGCTGCAAACAAGCAGATTTTGGTCCTGTATGGATTTATTTGCGCAGTGTGGGCCTGGGATGCCTGAACCGCTGTGGTTGGTGATGGGAAGGCAGCAGCGTGTGCACACCAGGAGGTGTGAGTTTACTGCCACCTTCAGACTTGCTTTACATCTGTTACGGGGCCACAGCAGCACCTCCAGGTGCGGTACCAGGCTCTTGCTGCTCCCTTCCATCGCAGATGCCCGGTGCATCAGCCACAAGGAGGGTAACTGGGTGCCACCAGCAGGCTTTGTGAGCAGCGAGTGGGAGGAAGGAAGTGGTGGGGGAGAGGAACCAGCTCCTTGTGACCACTGCCTCTGCCAGGGCAGGAGTGACACCTCCCACACTTTGCCTTTGAAGTCCTGCTGTGGCTGATGTCAGCTCCTCTGCCAAGACTTCAGCGTGTGGTGGCTGGGACACTGTTCTGTTCTGTTGGCGAGAGCCAGCCCCAGCAGACCCCTTCTGGTCACAGACGAGAGAGAGAGGAGCTCAGAGGTAGAAGGTGGGGGCTGGATGGTGTTGGGATGGCCTGAGGAGTCCATGTCACCCTCCTTCCTTACCCACAAGTCTCTGAACATGATGGCAAGTGAGAACTCTCTCTGTTTCTTGTTCAGTCCATCCTATTCCTGTTCCAGCTCAACTAGCCTTGCATGTATTTGTTAAACACTGGCCCGTGTCTGCCCGTCTCTGCTGTCCGCCTGTACTGCCTGGTTCCAGTCGGCCAGGCCAGCTCAGTGCCGTGGGAGAAGTTACCTCTGAGAAAAAGAACAGAGTTCTGGCTCACCCAGGGCTGGCTGTGGGCTCAGAGAAGGACACAGAAAAACTCCTTCCCTGCAGCGGTTGCCCTCCCTCTTGTTGTGTCCAGGGCCATGGTGCTGTCTGCTCCCCAGAACCACAGCTCGTGGGCTGCCCGTCTCTGCTTGTTGCAATCTACCTCTGAGGGTGGACTTTTGGCTTTGTTTCAAGTCCTGAATTACCCCTGATCATTTCTGGCAGGCAGGACAGTGCAGATCCTGGCACCACGATACCCCCCTGCCCTGGCTTGCCCTGCAGCCTGGCGGGCAGCCACTTAGAGGCCAACTGAGTGTCTCTTGGGGCGTGTCTGTTTGGGAGGGCCCTAATGAGAAGATGCACTGAGCACTCAGGGCTCTCAAGGTCACCTCCAGCCTGTTCTCAGGTGCAAACTGCAGCCTTTTGACTTAAAGACCAGGGCTTCTCATGCCAGAGCGTGCTCAGTACCTGGGTTTCCAGACCCAGAGAGGGGGCTTGCAACAGGCAGGTAAGCACTTTGCATTTGGAGCTGGTCCTTTGCAGTCCAGGAGTGATGCCTGGAGCTGTCTGATGGTAACTCTTAACTGGTGTAAGGAAAGGTTTTCCAAGAAGTGACCTGGCTGTGTCTGGCTTGGGGCACCAGGGTTGCAGGAGCAACCTGGTAGGTGCCTGGGCAGTGCTTGCGGTGTGTCCCTTGTGTGTTTGTGTTGATGACCAGCTCCCTGATGCCAGAATATGCTTTCAAAGCATCCGTCTTCCTCCTGAAAGGAGATTCCACTCTTGTTTTCCATTGTGAGAGGTCTCGTGTCACAGCTTGATCCGTGCGTTCTGCTTTTCTGGCAGTGAAAGGGAGCTGCGTTCGTGTCCTGTGCCTCCAGCAACATTGCTGAAGGAGGACACGGTGTGCAAAATTGTTCTAATGTGGAACAAGGAGCAAGGACTCTACCCAGGGAAGATGACTTTCCAGGCCTTGCCTAGCACATCTGAGGAAAGGACGTAGGCATTACCCCACGTGACTCCCTTTGCCCGCTTGCTACAGCAGCCTCAGGTCCACAGGACCAAAGAAAACCCCAGGAGACAGACAACGGCAATGTGAGGTCTGTGCTTGGCCACAGCCTCAACTAAGCCCTCCCTTTCACTCCTCATCCTCCATACCATGCCTTGGCTTTTGCCCCACCCTAATCCTGACCTGGTCCTGGTCTTGCTGGGTGCACTGTCCAGTGACAAATGGCAGCTGCTAAGACAAGAAATGGTTCCTCCAGGCACTGAGAGCAAGTAGCAGCACAGAAAATGCTGGCTGCACATGCATGGCCTGCCCTCCTGCAGCGGGCAGGTGACTCTCACCCACTCTCTTGCTCTCTGATGGAGCGTTCTTCCTGAACAGCCTCCCTGGAAAACAAGGGAAACAAGGTCTGTGGGTGGAAGCCACATGTCATTTCTCTCCTGACCTTGCAAAGATACTTGGGGTCAGTGACAGAGCAGGGGCACAAAGCTGGCTTCAGGAGGGCTTGAGGCCAGGGGGAGGCAGCGGGATGGACTGTCCTGGTGGAAGCTCCCAAGGAGCTGAGCAAGCAGAAGGGATGGGGAAAGGCCACTTTCTCATGTGCTCCTGCTCCCCAGGGCTTCCCCAGCTGCAGGAGGGTCCTGAGAAGTAGCAGCTCATTTCCACTTGCAGCTGTGATGAGTGGAGTGTTGTAGGAGCCGCTAATGCTGAAGAAGCCAGGACAGACCCACGCAGGGATGGACATGACACCATGGCCTTGGCTCCCCAAAGGCAGGGGGAGCTCCTGGTGCTAGTTTGGAGCTGGGGATGAGATGTAGCCTTCCCTGGGGTCCCCAGGACACGGGGTTGGCGGGGTGCACTGTCATGATGGCCCCTCTCAGCTCACCCCGTGGCAAACCCCAGTTGCTGTGCAAAGCGTTGGTCTGCGTGGTGGGACTCATCTCTGTCTGGCTCAGCTCACAAGCAAGATCTCTTCCTTGTCCTCCCTGCCTGTCTCATCTGTCACCACGTCTCAGCAGGTCCATTCCCCCAGCGTTTGTGTAGCTCCTTCCCCACCCAACCTCTTGGAGCCTGGAAAGCAGCGGGGGCTGGCGTTCCTCCTGGAGCAGGAGCCTTGTGCCTGGAGCTGGCTCTGCCGTTGCTGTTGGGAGATGCCACGTGGGTCCGGGAGCTGGATGTGACCGAGTTCAGCCACTCGGCATGGCCATGCTGACTCTGGTCTGCTCTCTCTTTTGCAGATGTTCATGAGGGCACAGTTTGACTACGACCCTAAAAAGGACAACCTGATCCCCTGCAAGGAAGCGGGGCTGAAGTTTCAGACTGGCGACGTGATTCAAATCATAAACAAGGATGACAGCAACTGGTGGCAGGGCCGGGTGGAGGGCTCCTGCACTGAGTCAGCGGGACTCATCCCTTCTCCAGAGCTGCAGGAGTGGTAGGTTCCTGGATTTGGCTAGAAGGGCTGGGTCTGGGAGTAGAGGTGGGAACGCTCACCATGTGCTACCAGGAGCATGACCTATGCTACCCATAGCACCAGCATCACTGCTGGGAAAAGGAGCCAAACGTCCCCTTCATGTGCTGCAGCGTGAACTTTTACGTGACCTAGCAGCTACCCTGCTTTTCTTGCCCTTACATGTCTGAGGGACAGTCCTGCTCTGCTTTTCCCCCAGGGTTCGGGGTGACAGCTAGACTATGGTGGTATCCTTCTCTCTTACAGGCGCGTGGCGAGTGTGTCCCAGTCCAGTCAGAGCGAATCCCCAAGCTGTAGCCCCTTTGGGAAGAAGAAGAAGTGCAAAGATAAATACCTGGCCAAGCACAGCTCAAGTAAGTGTCAGCAGGTAACGGGCTGCACCTGGCCATCACTCCTGTCTCTGGGCAGGGCTGTCCTGCATGGGGGTCAGATCAAACAGCTCATCTGTGTTGGCAGTGGGACCTCGGGAGGATACCCCACAGCTGTCAGCTTTTTTGAGTCCCTTCAGGTGGCCACAGCTGTGTCCCTGCACAGCTCTGTAGTGCAACAGCTGGGACTGGCTTACACAGGAGCCAGGCACTGAGCTCTTGTCCTCCCCTGTGGTGACAATCCCTCCTGGCCCAGAGCTCCTCGGGAGGTCAGGCTTCCAGACCTCAAACTGCTGAACGCAAGGCAGGCGGTGGCCTTGCTGCTGCTCGGCAGTTAGGAAGCAGCCCAAACTGCTCCCCACAGCTGCCAAGCTGTGTCCCTGGTGGGGTCCCCCACCCGTGCAAACACCCTGTGCTGAGCATGCCCTGGGCCAGCAAAGGCAGGTGCCTGAGGACACGCTGGCTCCTAGCCCGGCTTGCAGCTCCAAACCAGCAACAAACAAGGCCGTAAATCAGCGAGATAAAATAAAGCTTCCCCCAGCGACAGGCTCCCTGCGGTGTCCTGCTGCCTCCCTCCCCAGCTCCCAGGTCCTACTATCCTGATGAGTGAGAGCAGCTCTGGCCCTGGAGAATTGGTCCAGCTCCTCAGCACGGCCTCCACACCTCACGTGCTCCTTGCTGTGAGGCTGCTGCTGTCCTTTTCCTCCCGCAAATGAGCTCCT